AGATCATGGAAGCCATTGATAACACTGATCAACAAGCAGACACAAGTGTTGTCGACAGTAAAAACGCTCGCACCATCAAGGAATACAAGAAAAAGTACGAGCTATATGAGAAGTATTGCGAAAAACACGCTTTAGAAACGATAGATGTAAGAAGTATGGTAGTTTTTTTTCAAAGGATAGATATACTGGACACTTTACCAGAAGAACCTCAACAACAATTTTAGCAAGTTGCAACGGAATCACTCAATCCGATATTAAAAGACACGGTAATTGGAAGAGCAATTCTGTACCAGACAGATATCAAACAGTCAATGCAAACAGCAACCAAAACTGCCCTCAAAATTGGTGAAAAACTTGTTGAAACAACAAACATCCAACAAAAGCAAAAGAATCAATTTGAAAATACAGAAATTAATCCATGCAAAATGTTCACAAATTGTACAATTGCACAATAAACTTTTAATTCACTGCAAATCATATTTTAGCCTTGTTGGATTTGTTAATTAAGGATCTGCGTCTTCCTAGAAAACGCTGTGCTCATGCCGTTCCACACTCATTTCCAAAGTTCCTTGTTCATCATTTTCTGTTCCAAAGTGACCGACTTGATCTTCGGGCCCTCCTCTCAGCGAGTTCCGAACACAGTAAAAAAGAGTTTTTTCAGAATTTGCATTCTTGTCCTTTCATTCAATGAAAGCGTCGAAGCTTTTCTGATTTTAATATATAGTCCCTTGTCAAAGATTCATTTGGTTGAGTTTCTTGGAGTTGAACTTGCACAATTGTTCGATTTCAATAAGGACGAATGTAGTTTCTCTGTACAGAGCTGTTGACTCATGGATGAGACCACCACCACTACCACCGATCGAACACACAAAAGAACATCTCCAAAATCGTCTTGATTCAATGCCTTATGAAGTGGTAACGCATCATGAGGTGCCACATGTTGTGAACAACTGTAATAATAATAGTGATGAGAGGCATTCATGTCTCCATTCAAACTCGTTTTCGAATATCGAATGTGACCTCGACTCAAAAACAAGGTGTGTCCTCTTCCACACGAAACGTCTAAAATTTTAGAGGAATGGAAAAAACCCACTCGAAGAGGTAAACACACAAAACAATTTTGTTCTTCACTGGAACTGTTACTGCTGAAATTGGATGTCATTGTTTCTTCAAGATTTTTGTGACAATGGCATGTGGTGAGATTTTTCAAACACTTTTCAGTGAGAGCATGATGATCATAGCCCAGTTGACCATGCTTTCCTTCTCCTCCCACATAACAGTAACCCTCACGTGAGAGTAGTACACAATGGTTCCATCCACAACTCACTTTTACAATGGGAATTCCAATGAGAGATTTCACTAAAGTGACATGACGATGCGTTTTGGTATTTCCAACGAGTAATCTTAAATTCCATTCAATATATGTAAATTTATAACAAGTGTGACATGAAACTCAAATTCAACCTCTTCTGAAGGTTTTTTGAACTTGTACTTACTGACCATAAGCATTCCAACCTACAGTGTATACTCGCCCATCACGTGTCAAAAACACTGAATGAAAATATCCACATGAAATGGCAGCAATTCGTTCATGTTGTAAAGACGAGATGAGATATGGCAAAGGATATCTCGTCGAGGACGTGGATGCATTGGAGGAATCTTCTTGTCGATTCTCCAAGCCCAATTGTCCGTATTGTGTATCACCAATGGCGAATACTCTTCCTTCCTTGGTGAGTAATAAAGTATGCCATGCACCGGCAGCACAATCCACTATTTGTACATCTTGCCACGAGTATCGAATGGCATTGGAGCAAGAGGAGGACGAAGAAACCTCTCGAAAGAATGCTGCTTGTTCCGATAAGGTTCGTTGACTCAAGAGCTCTGTATGAATGTACTGACTGACATTCTTTTTTGGAACGAGAAATTGTTTGATGAGTGTGGGAGTCAGTACTCGAAATTCATCCAATGAGGATTGAGATGCCTGAATGTCTAACTTTTCCCAAACTCCACTGTGTGTGAGATTTTGTGTGAAAAGTGAAAGAGTAAGGTTCACATGGAAGAGTAATGATGCATATGAGAAAAAAGGTTCAGAATGACATGTTACTTACCATTGTCCATAGGTATTCTTTCCAAAGGAGCACACCGAATGATCCGCAAGAATAATAATCGAATGATAGCCTCCACAACACACTTTGACAATTTGTGGCATTCCACCATAATTGGATTTGAGAGCAGAACCACTTGTCGAATGCAACATTTGTGGTGGTGACAATGAGCTCACACTCGTCGTCGTCGTCATGAGGGTTGGGGAGGTACTTGTGGATACTTTTCGTTTCATCCATGCATTTCTCTCGAAGGCTAAAGGTTCAAGAAATTTGTCACATTCCATTAAAGATTGGAGGAGTCGAAGAGAGTTTCTCCAAGCCATTCACACCAAGCTGACCCTCACGACATTCACCCCACAAGTATAAATCACCGGAGAGAGTGACAGCAATGGAATGATGGCCTCCGCAACTGGCCATTTGAATGGGATGTTTAATGGAAAGGATTGGCTTGAAGGTCTGTACATTGCTAGTACATGATTGTCCTATTTTGTTTCACGTCACGCAGTCACAAAAAAGTTCATATTTGAGATTAGCAATAACATATTACACAACTCAAAATTTTACCAGACATGGTCAAAATCAATGAATGATACCATCCGCAATGCACGCTCTTAATGAGAGCACGTGGAGATGTTTTTGATGAGGAATTTACATGTTTCGATTGTATTCTCATAAAGGATTGTTTTTCTTTTTCATTGCATTCTTCTTCTTCTTCCTCTTCTGAGTCTTCATGGTCTATTAAGGGTGTGATTGTTTCCTCACGAAACGGATGTGGTGAATGACAAGAACTTCTGTGCTCCATACTACCATTTTCCAATGCATTTAAATTCATTAAGGAAAAACTTTCATCCAAATCAGGAGTCGAAGAATTCGAGCAAGTTCTCAAAGAGGATTCACTATCAACACCACCACCAACACCACCACCACTACTACTAGCACAACTCTCAAAAGTAGTACTACTTCGATCGAACATGACATTATACAAGTGTGGGATTCTGAGTGGCCGCATCATTGGTGAAGAATTTGGCATGATTGAAGTGGCCGATGAATAACTGTAATTGGTTGGAACATTCCATTGATTGGTGTTGTTGATGCTGGACTTATTTCGGGTCATGTTTGAGGAAGAGGTTGTGGTGGTCGTATTCGTTCTGGTAATTGACGACGAGCTTGTTGGTTGTGAATTTCTCGTACAAGACATTGATGAGGAAGAAGAAGATGAGGAACAGTTTCTTTGTGAATTGACTGTGGAAATTTGAAGACCCGTTTGTCCCGATGAATGCAAACCACATGAATAAATTTCCTCGATCAGAGGTGAATCACGATTGGAGGAGTTGCCTTCGTCTTCATGGTGTTGACCACGATTGTAGGGATGCTGCCGCACTGCTCGAGAGGTTAAATTCTTAGGGGAGTTAAACAAGTCGTCTCGTGACAGCGTGGTGGTGGCTGCATGGTACTGAGTGCTGCTTCCTATTGGATTCATGAATGAAATTGTGTCAAAATGGTCTCGAATTCTTAATGTTGTACAGTTGGTTGTTATGACCTTGCGAGAGTTAAAAATTGAAGTTTTGAAAATAATTGTCGTTGAGAGTTTGTTGAAAAACCGAATGCAAAATAATGTTTCTAGAAAGTAAAATTGAATGTAAGCAATATGATGTGCTGATGCTGTTGTTGATGAATAGATTAGGTTGGACCTTTTGTTTTGCGAATTTGGAATCCGTCACTCTCAAGAGATGGTTTCAAACGAAACTCAACAATAAAAGTAAGTCCACAAATTCGGAAAGAAAAACCAATGAGGAAAAGTGGACATTGAGAGTTGGTGGAAATAAGAGCTTTACATGTTGATTTAACTGGATAGGTGAAATGGACTATTGGCCATTTACAAAGGTGTTGCATTCATAGTAAAGAAAAGTATGACATGTTGAGTGTCACTCCAGATTTAAGAATACAAGTCTTCGTCATAATAATGATCGTCACAAGCGAAAAAGGAATGGTCCAACTGTCAAGTGTTTTAGTGTTACGGGTGCTCGAGTACTAGATGGAATTGGTACAATTCAGTAATTAATTAACCATATTTTTAAAAATTTAATCAAAATTCAGGTGGAATGTGTCAAAAACATACACAATATTAAAATTGCAAAATGCGAATATCATACAACCCATCCTTATTGTGAAAGTTTCATGCTGAAATGATGAGCTACCAAATCGAAACAACGATGAGCTGTATTTCGATTGTATCCTGAATCTAAATGAATTTGAGAGCAATTATTTTCTTTAGCAAAATTTAGCACATGATTCAACAATAAAGTTCCATAACCTCTTCCTCTACAACTTTCAGAAGTAATCAAATCATCGATATAGACACATTTACCCCATGCAGTGGTGGTCATCTTTCTGAAGCCAACACGTGCAACGACTTGTCCATTCTCATTCTGAATGGCATGAATTTGATAGCCTTCTTTTTGTTGTTCCAACACTTGCTCCACGAAGGCTTGTGGTGTTGTGAGATGAGGTCGGAGATCTTTAAACGTTTCAAAACATGATCCAATTTCCTGTGGAGTGCTCTTTAAAAGAATGGGAATCGCTTGTTGTGATGGTGTGCTGCTGCTGGTATTATCGGTGGATGCAATCATGATTACGTTTGATTTTTTATGGGGTGATGAGAACATTCTAGATCTTTGAATGATGCCATTCGGAAAATGATCATACAAAGAGTCCGCACGGGAGTGATTTCTAGGTATTGTTCTGGGTTGATAGCAATGAAACTGAATTACCTGATGCTACTGAGGATTTGATTCATTGATGTCTGTATTTTAATATGCTCTGGCCATTGTCGAACTGAAGTTCATTCATTTTTTATTAATAGATTTTGTAAAGAAATTGGCCTCCGTTTCACCACCAAATCAAAAAAAAATTCTTTCCAACATAGGCTCTCTTTCGTCTATCTTTGAGAGAAAACACAATTCCTTCATCATCCGAGCTCATCATCATTGCTACCACCATCAAGAATGTCCACCTCGCAAGATTCAAAGAAAGTGGAAGAATCCACATCTGCCATTGATCTCTATATTCACCCATTGATCATTATTAATATTTCAGATCACTACACTAGAAAAAAGTATCAATTAAAGCAAGGATCAACTCCTGTGGATACCTCTCTTGATTCCAAAGTTCTTGGTATTTTGTTTGGTACTCAAGATGGTAGAAGGGTTGAAGTGAGAACGTCTTTTGAATTGATCTTTACGGTGGACAAGTCAGGAGTTGTGAATATTGATCATACCTATTTGCAAGAAAAGATCGAGCAATGTATGTTGTTTTCATTGTGTAATTTTGGTGTGGTCTGATTTAATTGGTTAACATCATGAAACTTTGGTTTCTCTTGTTATTTTCATCATCATCACGGCTTATTTTCGAAAATGTCATCATGATTTCCAAAATGTTCAACAACAATTTCAAAACTATTGTTACCATCTCGATGTCATGACGATGGTTTATGTTGACATTCAATTGAACACTCTTTTCCTGCTATATTGAATTGTTACATTTGAAACAAATACAAATGACACAAAATAACCAAATATCAATATTTGCACACGCTTTTGACAACAACAGATAAGCAAGTCTTCAAGAATTATGACGTGTTGGGATGGTACTCCACTGGTACTGAAATTAGACCTGAATACAAACAAATTCATGAAGAGATTGCTAGATACAATGAATCCCCATTGATGATTCTTGTTGGAGTTGCATTCGGATCAGTTCAAAAGGAGCTTCCTCTCTATGTTTATGAAAGCAATATTAATGCATCAAGCGGCACCGTTTCATGGGCTACACTCAATTACAAGATTGAAACTGAGGAAAGTGAAAGAATTGTGGTCGATCAAGTCAACCGTATGGACAAGAGAGATGGATCTTCATCATCGCTCGTTCCCCAATATATCACTCTCTCCAATGCTGTAAACATGTTGATTGAGCGTGTTGAAGTTTTGATCAATTACTTGGAACAAGTGAAACAAGGAAAAATTGAACCAGATCACAAAAAATTACGTGAAATTTCTTCTCTTTCCCACCGTTTACCAGCAGTTGTTTCTGACAAGTTCAACTCTGACTATGTGAATGACGTCAATGAAAGTTTAATCATTACTTACCTTGCCACCATGACCAAGGGAGTCAACCAATTCAACAATGTTGTGGACAAGTACATGTCCCTCAGTGCTGGAAAGAAGAGAATGTATTAATAAATCATTGAGGAGAACTCCATTGAACACACGATAAGTAATAATTTATAAAAATTACAATGAATTTTTCATATGAGTTTCCTTATTAATTTTGAGTGAAAGGGTAGACCTGATTGCTGATCTTGGGATCGTTAATTTTTACATCCTACCACTTGATTGTTGCTTAGTTGTCGTTCGAGCTTGCTCCTTCGGAATTCAGTGATCATTGAATGGTCGCTGTGTGGAATGGGGCTGTTTCGGTTTTCTGGAGCGTTTTCGACTCCATTAACTTGTTGCTGAGCTTTCTTAATGTTCCTTCGCATATGAATTTCGTCCTTAATCTTTTCAAGGTGAGGGTCATGATGTGCAACTGTTGGTGCAGAGGCGTTCTGACAATCCAAAGAAGCTCGTTTCCTTGCGAGAACTTCTTTTCGATGATTGTGGAGTGACGAATCGTTTTGTGTATGCCTTGATGCTGCATGATCTTCGTCCTCGTTCAAAGCAATTACAGAATGGTGTGCATGTAGGGTTGTTAATGAGTTTGTTGTTGAAGGAAACGAGGTCGAGATTATTTCACTCTCCTCCCTAGGTGTGGTTTTGACAAATCGAAAGATGCTGGGATATTTGATTTTTTTCTCATTACTTGTCGATTCTGGTGGTACATCATCGTTGCTGAGAGTGACATTTGTGGGATGCTCTACGTTTTCTGCAAGATCATGTTTGTTCGTGGTTGGCTGCGAAGAGCCATAACCAATATTATTCGAAAGTCGCTTAGTGGAAAGTACATTAGTGGACATCGAGGAAGAAGGAGGATAGGTGTTGCTGTTCATAGCAGTAGGAGGATGAGAAGTGGAGGGAGGGGCAGTGGTTGCATTGAGAAAACCATTCGTGGAGGGAGTTAACTCTGACGATAGATTGCCATTGACATCAAAAGGATCCTCCTGATGAAGAGGAGAGGAACTTCCACTAGTGGTATTGGAATAGGCAGTACATGCATCATCATTATCAATCCCATCATCATCATCATTATGGTCCTCCAAATCATCGTCTAAGGAACAAGGAGATAACGGTGATGGAGTTCGTTGTGAGTTGTTAGTGAGAGGAACATGTCCTCTGATATGATTGACTCGCTTCCTCCTCTTGGGAATGAACTGATATTGTGTATTCGAAGGGAGGTTTTGTGTGGTGTGGAGTTGTCTGGAAATCTTGCTTGAAAAACAAGAAGAAAGGATACTCGTCGAGGGTAAATGGTCGGGAAGATCGTCCAAGGAGGGATCTGTCATGGAAGATGGAGTGAGGGTATTGTTGGATGTTGTAAATGTTGAATAGCAATTTGTTGTCATCATCATGATGATGATGATAATAGTGAAAAAAAGATCCGCTTGGAATGAAGAAGAAAAAAATGTTTGAATTCAAATTAAGCACAAGGAGCTCTCTCAAGATGAGAAATTTCGACGTCTTGCAAGTGTGTGTTGTTCAAGTGGTGGACAATGGTTGTTGTTATTCGGTCCGTTAAATTGGCAAATATGCCGGGATTTCTTGAAAGACGCAGAATGACGTTAGGATTTTTTTTTAAAAAAAGATCGTTGGATAAAAATAGTTGTAAATGGTCTAACGGTTTTGGCGGGAAGACCTTGATTGATGTCCTCAACTAACTAGTTGTCAACCTGAGGGCTATCAACAGCAAAGAATCCCGTAGCAGCCGAATGTTTTTGGATCTTGAGCTCTGTCAAGAGTTCCATTGGCCAATCAAATCAACACGATCGATTTCATTTGATGGAACTCTCAGTAAGCGGTTTAATAAATACTACCTTGTCAATTCAATCGATAGGTTAGGACAAGAAATCTCTCGCAACAGGTAAAACAAAATTAAGGGTGGCTGGTGATCAGGATTTTGCGCAATGACACAGCAAGTAGAATCATCATCACATGTCGCAACACGCACATCCCTTACAGAAGCAATAGTTGAAGAGTTGCCTTTCCAGATCCACTTTCACAAAACTTGTCAAAAGACACTTCTTTCAAGATTGCCAAGGTATCATTAATGGCTAAATCGAACATGTCACAAGTTGGAGTGGAGAGATGATATTTCACATTACTCTTCGAATCGAAGGGTAGGTTAATATTTTTAACAGAGTGGTCACTCAGATAATTTTCGTAAATTCTTTTAGCTTCATCCTCCATACTACCAACGACTCCCTCAATTTGTGAATATTTGTTTCGAAAATCGTCTGCCTCCTTGTAAAACATGACTAAATCCGATGTGTTGTTTTTGTGACAATACTCTAGGAAAACCTTAAAGGTCGATTCATTCTTCAATAATTGAACGAGACTAAATTTATCCGATGTTTTCTGTAAAACTCCCAATTCTTCTTCCAATAATTTGATATGTTCGTGTTGCTTTTCAGTTTGTTGAAATAATCTCTCGTTCTCTTGTTCCACAATATTCACTTGATGTTGAAGAAGGAGGAATTTCTTTTCCAATATTGAATATTCTGAATCGATTGAGCTTTTCATGCTTGTCACAAATGCAGAAAGTCGTTGATCGAGTTTCTCTCGGTTGCAATGTAGAGCTCTTTCAATGTCTTGATCCAATGAGAAGGCAGACGATGAGACACTCGATGTGGTGGTAGTGGTGGCACTATCTGCCTTCTTGTTTCCAAACGAAGAGGATGCACCAGAGCAGAAGGGATCATCTTTGGAGTCGGTGGATAAAGGACTCGATTCCAAAGAGGAATTGGCGCTTGAACTATAGGGATAATTTGGAAAATCAGACATGGAGTCGAATGGAGAATTGTTGTTAATGTTGTTGTTGTTGTTGTTGAGATGAGTATGGTCCTCAATGGATGGTCGAAACACTGCAACAAAGGCCATATTGTCATTGGGTACCTCTTCGTGAGGAATTTCTCCGAGTGAAATCTCAATTGGAGTGTTGTGACCTTGTTTGTGCTTGGCAAGTAATCCTGTGATTGTTTTTGATGATTGTGTGTGATTAATAAAAAATGATGAGATAATAATTTGGGAACGTGACAAGAGTGTGAAAAAATAATTTTCCAAACATGACATGTTCTCACTTACGTCTTGGTTTTCCAATTAATCTCTTATCTTGCCATTTCTTAAATCTTGTAATGTATCCATCATGATGTTGTGCATACATGGTTGGCATCAAAATTGACACATTTTTCGACAATACTTCATCCTTTCGCCATCCAAATAATTCCTCAGCTGCCTTATTAAATCCAACAATTTTACCGTCACTATCCGAAATAACTGTTGGATCTAAAACTGCTTCCAGTACTTGTAACATGGATTCCATTCTTGATGGTTGGCCAAAAGATGAATGATTTGACGATGGTGGTGGTGGTAACGTGAAGGATCCACCTCCCGAAAATAAAGGTCCATGTCCACTGCCATTGAGTGACGAATTGGATCCCGAAGAATTCGATGCAGCATCTCCAATCGCTGCTGTACTCAATGTCAATCTCAAATGTTTAGGAAGTGATCGATTGAGTGCATCCATCCATTGTAAATGATCTTGAACATCGTTGGCAAGTAAAATTAAAGTTTCGGAACCTTCTTGAAAGAAGAGAGCGATGGAATTTTCTTTTCCACACACATGTTTTCCATTGTGTAAAATTCGTTGTGGTACTTGTTGTGATGAGCATGTGGAAGGAGAATGAGAACTTGTCGTTGTGGATCCAGAAATGTCATATTCTTCAATGGGTTGTGTGTCTTTGCTCGATTTGAATTTATAAAGAATGCCATTCGAGAGCACAAACCAGAATCTTTTCATTAAAGTTTGACATACCAAGTGTCAAATGCCACCATGGGTTTTTCATTCAACCAAAATTATCATGATGGACACCAGTCAATATATAAACGTGACATTCATTGTATTTCATCATCCGAACATTTATAATTTTCCGAGACGAACATTACCAACATTATTATACAATTCCGCTCTCTTTTTGAACTTAACAATTACATACTTTTTCCAACGTCCAAAGAATCCTGATTTTTGTTGGAGATAGCCCGAGAGGGAAGGAAGAGAGTTGTTCTCATAGTTAGAGTCTTCTTCCGAGAAGGGAATATGTTGTTGCATCTTTGGATTTTTTTTTCTGAGCGACGAAATGGGTCGAAGTTTGGTTGGCATT